AAGCACATATTGAGTTCTTTTGGCTTTGGTTAACTCTCAATCTTTGCAGGGGATTGTCAACAATGGGATTAACTGGTAAAATGAGTGGTGACATTGGGGGCCTCACAGAGTTAATTTCTTTGTGAGTCCATTTTTGTACCTTAGAATGTTATATTAATGTTCATTAGGCTCTAATGCTCTATATATTGCAATCTTGTTACTAGTTGCAATAATGGAGAACTATTATTTGCCTTGGTATATAATTCACTTCTGCTCTTCTTTTAGACTGAATTTTGAAGCTAATTGATTTCAGGGACTTATCTTTCAATCCTGGACTCACTGGCCCTTTGTCTCCTAAGCTGGGTGATCTGCAAAAACTAACCATATTGTAAGATTGGAAAAAAAAAAAAATGCACTTTTAGGTATTCAAGATTTGACTGAATGATTGATTATAAAGGGAAAAACACTGGGAAAAATTGAATCTTGAGCGAAGCACACACAGAAACACACATTCTTGGTGTACGAGAAATAAGTTTGTTTTTACATATGTTGTTTCAGGATTCTAGCTGGATGTGGGTTTTCTAACAACATACCAGATGAACTGGGCAACCTATCGGAGCTCACATTTCTGTAAGAACTTTTATTTTTGCCCACAATGTGTTTGATTAAATGTCTAAGAGACAGACGTCTTATTCTTTTCTTTCGTAATGACGCTCTGTTTTTGCTTTTACAGTGCCCTGAACTCAAATAACTTGACCGGTGGCATACCTCCTTCGCTCGGTAAGCTCTCTAATCTATATTGGCTCGACCTGGCGGACAATCAGTTGAGAGGACAAATTCCCGTTTCATCGGCTTATGGCCCGGGTTTGGACCAGCTCAAAAAAGCCAAGCACTTGTAAGTGAAGCTAAATAAATTCTGTTTCAATCTAATCATAAATTCTTTTAATGTGATTAACAATCCCTTGAAGTTTGTGGTACTTTCTAAATGACTGATCTGAGGGTGAATTTTGCAAGACAGAAGCAATTATCGTTTTTTTTTTCCAAATTTTCTGATGTTATATGTTCGTTTTTTTTTGCAGCCATTTCAATAAAAACCAACTTTCAGGTGAAATCCCAAGCCAACTTTTTAACTCAGACATGTCATTAATACATATGTAAGTTCAGTAACCAACTAACTTGTTCTCAACCTTAAAAAACTTTATATGGATTGGTCTCAGTTGATTGGAGATAAAAAGGAAAACAAATACTCTTGAGTTCAACCAAATCACAAACAACCTCATTTGCCATGCAAAAAAATGGAATCATGTCGAAATTTGTTTCTGTTTTGCAAATTACACACTGCTAAAAGGGTGTTAAGCGTAAATTCTGAAGGATAACAAAGGCTAACACTCAGGTGGTGTCGTTGTTCTTTT